TGCTTCCATTGACTCTGCTACCTTATGGCTGCGCTGCTTCTTTATCTCTTCTTGCTGATAATGAAAAACAAAATTGTCCAAGTGTTTCAAAAAGAACATATCACTATAATTATATTCAATGACCTACAACTAAAACACGCACATAGGCTTAGGGAGTCTCCACAGATATCAGGACTATATTTTTTTATACAATCTTTATTGAGGGAACCAACATTACAATAAGTGGTTTACAGAATGGTCCTCACAACATATCATCACATTTAAATGATGGTAGTGACAAGCAACTCTGGGCATTTATCAATCTGTAATATCCAGTAATTAAACACTAGAAAGGCCCATTCATGACACTGACATCAATCATCCCTGTTAGTGCATGGAGGATAACTCACAACTTTCTCATCACTATTTTCAAAGATAGACAAAACTGTTTGTTGCTATATGTGTTCAAGGAAAGAATACTGTATAAAAGGTTTATTATTTGAGCTTACAATCTGTGAGACTGACATGCGTCCTAACTGCTGCCGCTTTTGTTGATTAGCAGTGATAAGAGTTTTCAGTCCTTGTTGCTGTAAACAAAACCAAAAATTGGATAATTAGAGTGAGTTTGAAATATCTGAGGAAATACTGATTCAGCCTCATGTCAGAACAAATATCTCTTCCTTAAAATTCTGAGTTATGAATCTTAACCCCTGACCCCAAAGAGTGACTAGCATCTAAATTCCACCTACAGTAACAACTCTGAATAAAAAATTTATGAAATTTAAGGAATGGATTGCCAAATAAAGCTCTTACTTGTGAAACAAATTCTCCTTGTCAGCAACATAGGAAATGTATAGAGAACAGTATAGAGAATAAGCATGCTGATGTTAAAGTGTAGAGGATTAAAGTAAAATCCAGATATAGATCATCTTACATATCTATCAGCCTTCCCTTCAGCATTTGCATTGTATGCCTCAAGGCGAATTTCTTCTGGAGAGAAGTCCAGCAAACCTAAAATAACATTCATAACACAAGGCATCATTCAGTAATAATTTAACACAAGTACCACATAACTTTTCAAGAGGCTACAATCTTATAGCTGTGACAGCATGCCTGATAAAGTCACCTGTTAACTTTAAAATTTCAGGCCCCACACCTCTCTACAGAGAATATATTTACAGTAAGAGTAAGAAAACTGTAACTTCTGAAAACATTTCTGGATGGGGAGACAAGTCAACCAGGTGTGAGAAATCTTCACTGTATTCAGTCACATTCATTGATCTGCGGTTTAATGGTTTGCTGACATGTCCTGATCTCCTATGTGATTGGTCAGAATTCAATAAACATTT